TTGGGTCCTGTTCATCCTGCCAAACATTATCAACGCCTTGGTCGACTGCTCCAAGGCCTGCGCCACCTTCTTCACGTCGGCCTGGCTCGCTCCGGCTGACTGCTGGGTCAAATATCTCTCCGTGTCGGGATACCGCACGTCTTTCTCGTCGTATGCCGTCTCCTGGAGACCGACGTCGAGAACGACATATGTGGGCGCACAGGGTTTGACGGACGCGACCGCGGTGGCTTTAATAACGCTGCGGATGGCCGAGTTCACGCTCGTGGGCTGATCGTCCCATTTGGTATAGTTCCTCACCAGCGCGGCCTGGTCGACGGCCGTGTGTGTCGAGTCGATCCACGGGCGCCTCTTGGTCGTGTCAAAGGGCCCCGCGGCGCCCAGTATCACCATCGGCACGCGATCGATAAAGGCGTTAAAAATGGCCATGGACGCGTGCATCAGGCCCACGTTGGCGTGCAGGCCACATGCCAGTGGTTTTTCTGCCACTTTAGCGTATCCGTGGGCGATGGCGATGGCGTGTTCCTCGTGCAGACAGACCACCATCTCGGGCGAGGCGTTGCCATTGAGATTGACCAGACTGTCGTGCAGTCCGCGATACGACGATCCCGGGACCAGCACAAAGTAAGGGATATGCAGCTTGGAGAGTTGCTGTGCGATATAATCCGACCCCCAGCCTGCCTTGGGAGAAGATTCTCCATTTTGCAGGTTGGGAGTGTCGGCGGGGGAGAGGCGGACGGGCAACGACATGGTCTGTCTGGCCTAGCTAGGGTCTATAGATCCGAGGTTTCTAGAAGTTCAAATTATGTAGAGGTCGAGTTACGAGTATTGAGTATCTCTTTTTTTTTTAACTCTTCTTTTTTTCTTTTCTCCAGGCAAGTTCCGCGTCGACGAGCTGTTTGTTGATCTCCGAAATGGTCATTGTCTCCCCCCATGTGACAACATTTTCCTACGAGTAGAAGACCGAGAAGATCAAAGCCAATCCACTCAAAGCAATCCATCGATCCCGAGGTACTCCAACATTGCTCCCAATGAAGGGGAATATCTTGACCAGAGAGACTCTTGTAAGAAAGTGCTTCTCCAACGGCACCGCCAGCCGCAAGTAACGAGGCACAGGCTAGGTGGCTACTGACCACGTTGAAGGGCCGATCTTTCCATGGGGTAGGCGACGAGGTGGCCTCTACTGGGTCTGTGACAAAACTCCGGACACTCTCCGGCAGCCGAAATATTGATATCGTCTTGTCAAAGTTCGGTTGATCCACCTCCGCAGGAATTCCGTCTCCATTGTTTCCCTCCACTCCCGCCTCCTCGTTCCCCCCCCCAGACTAAACCCACTTTATCTGCCCCCCAATATTCAGAACTTGTTTTCTTACTTGTACTCGGTACGAGTGTTTTCTTGGGTGCCGAAGATGCCGTGCCAAGTTTGAGCTTCTCTTTCCCACACGTGATAAAAGATATTGGGCAAGCCTTGTGCGTACGAGTCGCAAGCCCAGCCACCAACCAACCTAGCAATCATTGAGAGGTAGGCAAATTCGGTTGAACCTACTACCTACTACAGCAACTTCTTTACCGAGTACTGGGTCCTATTTGTATGATACTGCTCGAGTCAGCGGGCTTCGAGTCCTTGAGAAGCCAAGATTTCTATTGGATCTTCCCGTCTGGGATAGACCTTCAGGCGCGTGGACTTTTGCTCCAACCAAGGCCTGGTCATTGGTACTAACAAGGGAGATCCTCCAATCGGTCTCCATGGTGCCTCTACTCTTTGAGAGTCGAGCATGGATAACCCCCAAATATGTACGTCGCATGCATTTTCAACAGGGTTGGAGTACCACGAGTGGGTTCCCGATCTTTCCGCGTCAGTTGGGAACCGGATACCATCCGTCGACACGCCAGCATGGGCTTAAGCGAAACGAAGGCACCGTTTCGTCCAATCTAGAGGGTCTTTGCCATGTCTGGTGAGGCGACGAGGCCCTGAGATCTCAGCTGCAGATTCCCCAATTCCAGCAACTCGGTAACTGTATGCACCATGGCATCCCAAACAAACGACGAGATCCCCAAAGTTCTCAGACTCCCCTTTTCTTCCATTCTCCCAGGCGCCCTCTCCCCCGTGCTAACCGAACTCTATCCCCACGGGGTTTCGTGTCTTGGGTTCAAAGCGACTTTATCATGCCGTGAGCTTGTTCTCTATCCTGTCCTGTCCTGTCCTGTCCTGTCTCGTCCCAAACTCTCCTTCCAAGAGTCTACCTATTCCTCACTCCCGTGGCGAACAGTTCCATCTGAAGGCCTTCCTCCCGCAAGTCTCTCTGATTCACGAATCTTCTCGGGTGGTTGTTGATTCACGATGGGTTCCGTCGCGCAGAATCTGGAAGAGTTGAAGGGCAATGTGCACCTCGAGGAGTTTGCTGGGGATGGCGAGCATGCTCTCACCCCGGAGCAGAAGGAGTTCATCAAGAAGGAGAAGCGAGTCGTTCGGAAGCTCGATCTATACATCACGCCCGTCATGCTTCTTCTCATGCTGATCAGCTACCTCGACCGTGGCAACATTGGTTTCGCCGCAACCCAGGGCATGACCAAAGACATTGGGCTGACCGGCAATGAATTGAACGTGAGTTCTCGCAAGGTATTTGTGCAATTTCGGGGTTCTGACGATAACTAGACGGCCGTCTCGATCTTCTATCTCACGTACATTCTGTCAGAGGTAGGTCAGAAATCTTTATGTGATATCGGTGCAACCCAGCTAACAATAACGAGTTCCCAACCACAATGTTCGTGAAGCGGCTGCAATTCTACCGTGTCATCCCCGTCCTTGTCTTCGCCTGGGGTCTTGTGTGTATGTGCACGGGCTTCATCCAGAACTACGCCGGCCTTATCGTTTGCCGTCTGCTCCTGGGCGTCTTTGAAGGCTGCTTGTTCCCATCGATGACCATGTTCTTGTTGAACTGGTACCGACGTGAAGAAGTCGGCCAGCGCGTTTGTTACCTATACAGTATGCTCATCCCCAAAAACCCTCCTCAAAATTGTCCCAGTGGCTAACTCCGCCTGATTCTCAGTTGGCTCTGCTCTGTCCGGCGCCTTTGGGGGTTTGATCGCCTTTGGCATTCTATACATGGACGGCACGGCCGGCTACCCCGGATGGCGATGGTGAGCGAAGCTGTTTTCTTTCTGGCCTCCAAAGAAGTCATGTTCCCTAACTGAATCCACGCACAGGCTGTACATCATCGAAGGAATCGTCACCATTGTCTTCTCCTTCATCTGCTACTTCCTGATCCCGCGATCCTACGCGACGGCCTACTTCTTCAACGACGAGGACAAGGCCGTGCAGAAGCAGCGCCTCGAGCTCATGGAATCCTACAGCGGCGGTGACGGCAAATATACCGGGAAGGACGTCAAGAACGCCATGCTCGACATCAAGACGTGGCTGCACGGCTTCAACCAGGTTCTTATGTCGACCATCATTTACGGTAATTTCACGCCTTTCAATCAAACTAGTTGGTGGTTGGTGGTTGCTAATCTATGGTGGTGGCCAGGCTTTGGGACTTTCCTCCCCATCATCCTCAAGGACGGGTTCAACTACTCGACCAAGAAATCCCAGTATTATGTTATCCCAGGTAATTAGACCCGCATCACTAACTCCTCCATTCGCCCGATTTTCTAACCCGTCGCTTTCCAGTCCAAATCGTCGGTGCGGTGTGCTACTTCTTCGCCGCCGCCCTCTCGGAGAGATACAAGACATATTTCCCATCACTCGTCATCTCCGCGCCGCTCGGCATCGCCGGGTACGCGATCCTGCTGACCAAGCAGCACGCCAGCGTGTGGTACGGGGCGACGTACATGATCGCGTCGTGCTGCTACATCATCACGGGGACGAGCATCGCGTGGCACGGGATGAACATCGCGCCGGACGGCAAGCGCGCCGCCGCCATGGGCGTGCACCTGGGCCTGGCCAACATCGGCGGCATCATCGCGGGCCAGATCTACCGGTCCACGTCGGCGCCCAGGTTCCTGCTCGGCCACGGCTGGAGCTTGGCCTCGATCGGCACGGGCTTCATCTGCTGGTGGATCCTCTTCTTCATCTACAAGCACCGCGAGGCCAAGAAGGCCAAGCTGGTGGCCCAGGGGTACGTCGTCCCCGAGGGAGAATGGACCGATCGCTCTCCGGGGTTCAAGTACCAGCTCTGAGCTGCGTGACGCGTTGTGTGATGATGACAATGAGAAGCGCCCTGATTTGTACCGGAGAAGGCTCTGTTGAAAGCACAAGTTGTGCCGCACGGACCGCGTATCCCCTCCGCAGCCAGGATTGCTGAGTAGTTTCTTAGTATTGCAAAATGTGCAGATTTATGGCCTACTCAACACTGTTATACCACGATTATTCGTTAATTACTATTGTTGCTAAAGAGACTCAAGTACCTTTGGAGATTGAATGAGCGACAAAATATTGTGTTTGCATGCAATGCCCCGGGTATCGAGGACGGCATATGATTCGACGGCTTCGCAGTTCCGGCCCACCGTAGCTGGAGGATTTTAAATCTCTCAAAGGCTGCGGTTTAACTTACTATCGTCGGGAGGAATGCATTTCAATATTATAACCTTGTCGTGGGTCGTCACTGTGACTATCTTCCAGATGCATTGCCACCAATTTGTAGTCATTTCATTCAACAGTCCATGGTTTTGCTTGAGTCCCGATAATAGTAAAAACGTAGGGGTTGTTTTGGTTGTAAAGTTTGAAGGTGTCTTCGGCATGTATCTATAGCTTGTGATTCCACCTTACGTGCATCTGAAAGAGGAGCACTTTGTGGTTTTGCTTCAATGAAATAGAGAACACGAGGTTGGTCTATATCATCGTCGAACACAATGTGTCGTTCGATAGCTTGCTTCTGGTGATAGCTAGCTGATCTCAATACGGAGAGCCTTTGCTTGTATGGCGGCATTTTCTTTAGTGGGAGTCTGCTTAAGAATGCCTTCATTGTCTGAGGATGTATCGTGCTGCTCTGAAGGGAGCAAAGATGGTAGGTTTTGAGCAATCCAAGCTTGGTCATGTACACGGAGCGTCTCATGATGCATTACTTATTGTTCGAACTTCTTACGATAAGCCGGACTATCTCAATCTGGCCAAAGCAGCCTACAAAGACTGGGCTGATGTCGAAAATGCTGCTGGCTTCAGACTTTTGCAGACCACCGGCGGCTCAACATTCCTTCAGAAGAACGGTCTGACTCCAAGCCAAATCACTGTGCTCCGGGTACGGGGAAGCCTATATCCACGGCCTTTGCCTACCATTTCTCAGCCGGAGTCGCAGCCCCTGGTTGCGTAGGTGCTACAAACCCTTAGCTGCTGTTCAGCGACTGATACCGAAGCGAGCGCCTGATAATTATCTAACTTCCAACCCTACCACCACAGCGCGAACCTCACGCACACGTTCAGGCCGAAGGATGGAAATGGAAAGTACTCATGTCGAGATTTCGACGTCGCATGGCCTGGTTCGTAACATCTATGTACTGGTATTCCCATTACCCTTTTCCTATTTTAGAAGTCACGTATAACCCTAGGATCTGTGGCGAGTCATGAGATGACCTTCCCCATGTTGATATATCAAGCTTTTCAAGTTCCAATTACACAGTGGTAACCCGCAGCCTTACCGCTATGCCTAATTGGGGGGGCTGTCATTTCCACCATCTAACAACACCCCACAGGCTTCTCTTGTTTGTCTTGCCTCGGGCTGTGCCTTAGGTAGGTAGTTTCGTAACACTCCATTGCCTAGGTTCATGCTCACAGCCATGGGAAAGGCGAGTCCCTTTAGTGAAGAATTATCCCCAACGATGATCCTTATAACTTGATTTTGCCCATGGTAAGCTGATTATAGTCAGTTGGAGTGAACTCCACATACGCATCTGCTTCGGGTAGCAACCACAGCATCTTGTCGCCGTTAGCGATTTTCGCATGGTCTATACCTTCTTTCTGGAGCTGTCCCTTGACAATTTTATTGTTGCCTGTCGTCGGGGCATGGGTTGTCGAGACTCGCAGGAAGATAGGAACCGCGTATTTAGTGTTGCAAGACGTTCAACCGAATGAGTCTCGACACTAGCCCACAACTAGGAAAAGGAATTGGTTGCCGCAATGGCAGATTAGTTCGGTTTGTTGAGCTCTTTTCTGTCTGAAGAGAGAGAAGGAGGAAGAGACCTAGTGACTCGATCTACCTGAATAAAAGAGGGGAGAATAAAGATCGGGCTAGGTCCAACCTGGCCTAGCGCCACACGTGACATTTAGGTAGTCGTGCTCGGAGTTGGCTGTTGGAACCACGTCTTGCTTTCACTTTCTGGCCACAGCTTGATATCAGGGGGATTGACTTACCTCGCCAAAGAGCAGTAGTCGAAATGTGGTTGGTCCTGCTCAGCGATGACGACGCGTGCACAACCCGCTCGGCCATCGTGATGTGGGATCAAAACGCCGTAAATGACAGCTTCCTTTATCTTGGGAAAGCTGCCGAAGATGCCTGAAACTTCTGATGTGCTCACATTTTCGCTCTTCCAGCGAAATGTGTCACTGAGACGGTCCATGAAAAACCAACGTCCTTCAGAATCTCTCCGCAGTGCATCACCGGTGCGGTAATACAGGTCTCCCGGACAACGGACGTTGCGTGCCAGCCTTTTCTCCGTGGCCTCTTGGTTGTCAAAGTATCCTCGAAAATCCTTCTCCTTCTCCAGAGCAAATAGGATCTCGCCACCTGTCGTCAGAGGACTTTCCACCACTAATCCCGTGACTGGATCCCTTTGGATGTCCCCTGAGTCCGCGTCAATGGCGGCGGCAAAATATTTGTTGCGCATGATGAAGCGGATAAGCAGACCGTCATGCCCGACTGAATGCGCGAGGAAGGGTCCTGGAAACGGAACCCCGATTAGCACACATTCTCCACTTAATGCGACGGAACAGAGAGGGACATACCTTTGGCACGGGTTTGCAGGCCAAACACACCTTCGCTGCGCCAAAGAATTCTACTATCATTGGAACAGCAAATCGATCCTGGAATTTGGTCCAGACGTCTGGCCGCGTTCCATTACCAAACATGACCTGGAGGTTGTGTTCTTTATCTCGCGGACTCGGCGGCGGTGAGAGCAGATCCACATGTCGCCCAAAGTCTTAGCATGATCGGACTGAGCCAGGGGATGGAAGTCTTACATCTTGCTGTCTCGCCAACATATATGCATAGAGTGGCACGAGATTTTCTGATATCCTCCCAAAACTTTGTGACACTGAACTTCTCCACCAGACAAACGGTAATCCCCCCACAAAGTGCTGTGATCGCTCCAATGCCGCCTGTTCCGTGGTACTGTCACTCACTGTCAACCCATACTGGACGATCAAGTTGACCTTCGCTTTCAACTATCGAATAGACTCACCAGCGGCATACAGACATACCATCTATCCCCATTGGGGCCTGGCGTCGTACACACTTTGCTGTGCAACCTTGCAGAGACGGCATCTGCTAGGAAGTGATGGGTCCAGGAGCAGGCTTTGGGAAACCCCGAAGTCCCACTTCCTCAATGTCAGTCTTTGCCGTTCAATTGAATGGGAGAAACCATTGAATGACCTTGTGTATAGCATCATACTTTGATCGTCTGGTCGCACACTTCTCGCAAGGTGGTCATCGGGCAATTGTGTGGCGAGGCTGTATATTGAAGACTTTTGCGCTTCGCTCAGGATCACAATCCTCTGGTTGGCATTCAGAACCTCTTTGATGCAGTCCAAGTTGACCACCAGGTCTCCGTCCGCGATAAGGAAATTCGTTTTGGCGACTTGCCAAGTGTGGAGGAGGGCGTTCCCCGTCAGGTTGTAGTTGAGAAACGCCGGAGAACAACCAACCGCATAGCATGCCAGCCACATGAAGAGAAAATCTGGCGAATTATACATATACATTGCCACAGCTTGGCCGGTGACCACTCTAAGATCGCGGAGGAAGGAGGCGTACTGACAACACCTTGTGAGACATTCTGAGAATGTATAACACCGTTCTCGCGTCCAAATCGCGTCCGAGGCTGGGAACTTGGCCGCCGACTCGAGAAACCGAAGCCACAGGGACACCTGTCCCTTTCTCACTACGCCTATTAGTGGGGAAGGGGTTTCCAGAATCGACTTGCAGTCGGGATTTACCCTACCTCTACTTCGGGTATCCCTCCTTGCAGTAATGACCTCTGAGAGAAGACTGATATCCTTCGTGATATGGTACTTGGCATCGAGATACGCTGACCCTAACGCAACGGCAACTCCCGTTGCTCCAATTGCTGAATTCATGTTGTAGCGCGAAGAGGTCTGACGCTCGCCCAAGGGTAGTTTTGACGACGGAAGCATAGAGATGGACACGTAGAGGGCTAAAAGCCAGAGAAAGCGACCTTTATGTTTCAAGGAAAGTTTCCTTCTCCCCATGGGGACGGACCTGACTGGGGCTGGCAAAAGGACGTCCTAATCAGCTGAGAGCAAACGAGTTCGATCGAAACGACAGTGAGTGAGACGACGAAGCCTTGAGAACTCCCAGGGTCTAGACGCTATGTCTTAAAAACTTCAGGGTCCGGAATCATTGTATCAAACATCTACCGAGTGCCCGTGCCAGCACGTACTGTACTGATTACGCAGGTCCATGTACTCACGGCAAGCCTTTCTTTCAGGATGAATGCCTAGGTATCTCTCTTGCACCCGCAGAGGCTGGTCCATTTTCCGATCAATCTAGCCCTCCGAGCTTGGGCGAGGGGGCGCGAGGTGGGGGGTGGTGCAGGGACCGTACGAGGGCGCGCACTAAAAGTACTGTTCAGGCTACTTACTATGACAGGAGGTTTTCTCAGCTTGTAGGCCCCCTTACCTATCTCTTAGCTATAAGTCAGAGCTATAGGCGGCCGTGAAACCTCCATTCCCAGTCTCGCTAGGGGCTTTAGGAGCTGAGCATCGAGCTCCGATGTCTCTGGGGGCCGCCGCAAGGAGCAACGTAAATAAAGTCTCTCGTCTTTTGATCAGCTTGTCATTCTATTACTAGCATTAACAATTCTTTTGGTGCGCGCCTCGGTATTATTGGCACAAGATGGACACAGGTTTGGATACAGGCGTTCGATCGTCAAGGAATCGCATTCCGAAAATTCCACACGCAATTCCGCGGCTATATACCAAACTACAATCTCGGGAACGGCAGCCTGGGGGATCGAAGTATTTAATGCGAGGTTTGTCACACAGGAAGTAGTCTGATTTGTACACTTTGAACTCGTCCAGCTTCGATTATTGCAAACATGTCCGACAGGTCAATCCGCGAACGTTCTACAGAGCCAGGTCACCTTGAAGAGAAGGTCGAAGCCAGCGGTCATGTGGACCGAGTTGAGTTGAGCGTCGAGCAGAAAACCACCGGCCACCGAGACTACCATGGCATCGACACCACTCATGTACAACCTGGTGCCGATGCTGCCTACGAAGCGAAGATCGCACTTGTCAACGAAGCGTTGATCGATATTGGTATGGGACCGTTCCAGTGGAAGCTCTTCATACTTACTGGTTTCGGGTGGTTTGTGGATAATGTAACTTATCGCTGAAATTTGTATTCCGTGCTGTGACTGAGTGTGGTTTCAGGTCTGGCTACAAGCTATCACCATCGTCGGTCCGGCTATCCAGCGAGAGTTTGCTGTCAAACGCATCGCCTTCCTTACTGTCGCCAAGTACGTTGGTCTCACAATCGGCGCATCGACATGGCCTCTCGCCGCCGACTTTATTGGCCGTCGCCCTGCCTTTAACATCTCACTGCTTTGTTCTTCCCTATCTGCCCTGGTCGCTGCAGGCTCACCGAACTTTGTCGCCATGGCCACGCTCTGTGCTATGATTGGCGTTGGCGCCGGCGGCAATCATGCGGTTGACAGTGCAATCTTCCTGGAATATATCCCGGCCACACACCAACATCTACTGACCGTGCAGTCGGTCTTCTTGGCAACCGGTATTGCTGTAGCTGCTTTGGTCTCCTGGTAAGCTTGGCCCGCAGCAGATTTTTTGATTTATTCAAGAATTTCGTGGATTGACTGATATCTAGGCCCCTCGTCGTCAACTTTACATGCCCTGCCGGGACGCCGCAAAGCGAATGTGGGTTTCACGAGAACATTGGGTGGCGGTATATCTACTGGACCCTAGGTGGCTTTACTCTCTTTCTCAGTTTCTGCCGTTTTATGTTCGGGCTGTACGAAACACCAAAGTATCTGCTGGGGAGAGGGAAAGATGAGGCAGCCGTCAAGGTCATCATGAAGATGGCCGCGCGGGATGGGAAAACGACCTGGCTGACCTTGGCACATCTCCAGGCCGTAGACGCACGGCTGGAAGCAGCTGCACTCCTAGCAGACGACCGCGACTCTCAAAGTGGTGGTGCTGGTTTACACGCCACTGCCAACAAGACGACGATCCAACGATTTATGGCAAAGTGGGCGCCGAGCAAGGTACGAGCACTGTTTTCGACTCCGCGAATGGCTCTCTCCACGAGTATGATGATCGTCCTCTGGACAGCGATTGGAATGTCTTACCCTTTGTACAATTCTTTCATTCCCTTCTATCTGGAAAGAAAGGGTGTCGCGGTCGGCGCCTCAAGTCTGGACATCACATACCGCAACTATACGATCCAAGCGGTTTGTGGTCTACCAGCTGCTATTCTAGGTGGCTTTTCTGTGAGACTGAAGAACGTGGGTCGCAAGGGAACTGGCGCATTTGCATGCATATGTACAGGACTATTTCTGTTTCTGTACACTCAGGCCAGCAACTCTGCGGCCGTCCTCGGCTTCTCCTGTGCGATCTCCTTCTTCCAGTTCCTGATGTACGGATTGCTCTACAGCTATACACCTGAGCTCTTTCCGGCACCGATAAGAGGAACGGGTAATGGTTTGATGATGACATTCAACCGTCTGGCCGGCGTGATGGCTCCTCTCATCGCTGCCTATGTTGGCATTGAGACGGATACTCCTATCTGGCTCTGTGCGTCTCTCCTGACTTTGGCTGGGTTCGTGTGTCTTCTCCTGCCTTATGAAAGCCGGGGACGTGCAGCCTCTTGAGGAGAAACATAAGGGAAATGGGCACATGCCGATTAGGGCCGAATGGGAAAAGTTGTCCAGCATCAGTATAAAGCAATGAGGAGAAATTTCTTTGATGCATTGAAGGATAGTCGTGCGTTCTATCAGGCGTCCTCACATGAACGTTTGTTGAAGGTAATAGATTCTAGCAAATGGAAAGAAAACACATGGGTCTTCGGCTAAGATGACAGGAAGAACAATAACAACACCCTGTCCCCCAAGGCGATGGTAGCCGTCGCATACTAGCATTCAAGCGGGCTGTGGAACAAGCATGTCATGCTTGTGCAAATTGGGCTTCTTGATCGACTACGGCCCACCATTGCGCTCGACTGCTTCGGGTCGTGGTCTGAGTGTCTGTTCCCGAGCCTGGCTTGGTGTTGGGGCTGCCTCCTTGCGTAAAGGAAATCTATCGTAATCGTAGAAGGCCAAGTCCAGATTGTCGACATTCATATAGGGAGCAATATCCGCATTTACGTCGCGTTCAGTTCTCGTGAAACCGCGACCGAGAAATGCCCACATATTCAGCTGGTATCATCAAAAGCATGAAAATTAGCTGGGATTTTCCACAAACTATGGGGAAAGAACAGTAAAAAAAAAAGTCTGAATTACCTTATTGCGAGACTTGATGTGAAAATCTTCCCATCTAGGATGACGGACAACTTCCTGGAAATGTAATGCACTACCTGTACCCTTTGTGAGCTCCTTTCGACAGGTCAGAGATTCAGGCAGTGGAGTGTTATATACCAGGCCAGACTGCGGTGATGCGACCGTCCGATGGTCGCTTGTACCACGAGTTGCAGTGATCTTCCCAGACGGTTCCGTGCAACATGGTTTGGCAGTGCTCGTTGAACTGATCCGTAACATCTTGTCGTGGACAAACGGAGAGGAGGTCTTCTGCCTGAATTTTCTTGATCATCTGGATGGCATAGTCTGCCACAGCACTGATTGAGGCTGTCACTGATCCCGTAAGTACCGGAAAGGTAGGCCCGAAGGTAACTATAAAGCAAATCAGTACTTCTTTGGTTATATCTTGATGTCACCGTAGAAAGCCTTCTGGTTAGACTTGCATAGTCAGAAAGGCAAACAGAACGTACGTATGAAATTTGGAAAATCTGCACCAACAACGTCAGCACGACAAATTTTTGAATCTCTAACATTCGACATACCTGGAACACCGATTCCAAGATATGAATCCGGGTTGGGTGTAAATTTAGCTCTCAGAGAAACACCATTCATGCCCACCACATTGAATCGAGGCAAGTAAGTTGTATCAAACCCAGTCGCGAGGACAATAGCATCAACATCTGCAATCTCGCTACCATCAGCTCCAATCACAGAGGTTTCACGAACTTTGGCCAGTGCTGTGAAATGAGGAAATACGTTCGGCTTTTTCAGTGCTTGCATAAATGCGCGACCCTTGGCTTCAGTGTCAGATTCCTGGATCAAAGGGAATGGAGCCAAGAACGTACCGGAGACGTTCTTCGACAGCCAACGGCGAAATCTGGAACCAACCCCTTCACGAGTGTTTCGTCCTCAAGTTCATCGCGCATGATCTGTTGAAAGCGCGACCGGAGAGCCTCTTGTTCGGGAGAATCCTTGAACAAGGCTTTCCAGACTCTATTTGCCTTCAAGAAATTTCAGTCGATGTATGGGGATAAAGGATTGGAGGCGCCATACTCCTGCTTCATAGACTCGTGCTTGCGAAACCAATTTTGCGTGATCACGGGCAAAACTCTCTTGTTCTTCTTGAGACCCTTGAACTCTGATTGTCAGTATCACGTTGTTGAGGTTGGGCCAGAGAAATGCGAGCCTCACAAACTGGTTTCAGCTAGGCACAAGTCAGTCACGCTGATAAAGTAGTCGATGGGGAGGGGGGTGCACTAACACCGTAGTTTGGTTGAACGGACGCCAGCCAGGACTTGGATCGTATGAAAACGTGCAGTTCTTTCGCATACGGTTGCATTCTGTGCCCGGTGTCAGTGTTGCTTATGGCTTTAAAACTTCTGAGTGACGGCTCCTTCTCACCCGGGAGTCGCTTGTATGCTGGACGACCCTGCTCCTACAATCACGATTTTCTTCCCGGTCCATTCAGCGGCGGTGAAGTCATCAGGCCATTGTGCCGTGTGTACCACTCGACCTTTGAAGGACCCTAATCCCTGAATCTCTGGCAATTTGGGATTGTTAAGCATACCCGTAGCCTGAATAAGTACATCCTGCTCACCATCATCAGCTCTCGAACTAACTGGGCAAAAGGCATTGTTAACAAGTGGTTGGACTTACACATTCGTCCTCCAACACACTCGTGCTTTCATCCGAGTAGGTTTGCTCCACCTTTAGCATCCACTTTCCAAGATCTTCATTCCACGTCGCCTCAATCACACGGCTATTGAACTGCATATACTTACGCAGGTCCCAAACTCGACATACACGATCGAGGTATTTCCAGATAGAATCACTGGACGAGTACAGTTCGGACCAGTATGGCTAGTGATTGACAAAAGGTTAGACTTTGACCCCATAGCCCTCAAGCACCCAGTTGTAGCCTCGCTTACATTCAGTGCGAAATTATATACGTAAGAATGACTTGGAACTGGGAGTTCTGGCGTCAGTAAAAGTACTTGACTGCTATATCGATGGTGAATAACTTGCCGTCACAGGAGCACTTAGGGTAGCGATTTTCCAGCCACGTCCCGCCAATATCACCATTCTTTTCATAAATGACGTGTTCGACATTCTCAAGTTCATTCTGAAAGCGATATGCATACATTATGCCTGAGAAGCCAGCACCTATGGTGACGATTCGCATTCGACGATTTCCTGGGTCTAGGTAAGTGACGTCAGGGACGAAATACCCATTCGAACTCGTGTGCGGCGGCGGTTCTCGCTGGTCTCTATCCATTTTCTCGCGCTTTGATAGACTGGTTGGCTTATCCCTTTTAGTACAATAAGCTATCCCGGATGCCATGCGCCTTGGAAGAGTGCGGTTTAACAGAATAAATCAAAATTCCCTTGCGCAGTCCAACTCGACGTATGTCACTTCATTCAATCGGATTGGGGTGGGCTTTGGGTTAAATAGAGCGGACTATGTGTCGGCCTTGAAGCTTTCCCATCCGAGGTACCATTGATGGACGCAAGTCTTGCGAATACTCCAGGACCAATGCTGTCAGCTAACTGTTGGCCCATCAATTAGTTGTCTTGGTAATTCCGAACCTCTTGTCATAATACATAAACTAATAACCCGCATAAATCCTTGTCAGACGAGCTTAGGTGTCGTGTCCCCGGAAGCCAACATCATACAGTCAACGATTCCGGATTTCCGGTCCCGGTACGGCGACTCTGTAGAAGAGCCCTTCAATGTTCCACGGTAATTCGGCCCACGTTAGATGAGCTCGTAGCGTTGAGAGGCCACGGGATGATAACTGCCATGTCACAGACGGTCCGGGAACTTTCGTTGCTTCTCCAGAGACAGTCCTGCCGACGGACATCAGATTCGTCCGCAAAGCGCCCATGTTTGACTTGGCTCGTCAATTATAGAAGCTTCGACTCAAAGACTCAGATAAATCATTGGCGACAAACCCACGCTACTCGACTTTGCGATCCTAGCGGAAGGAGGCACCCGTGAGTCACTTCATCTGACCTTGACATGAAGAGGTTTCGCATGGCAGTGATCTTGCTACATATGTGAGATCTTGCGCGAAGGTCTGTACATATGTACCCATGTCCAGAGTTTTATCGTGATATCCCCGACTGTCTGCGACCTACTCCGCAACAGGAAAATGTACCGCATCCTATTGAAATTGACTTTCTGGCATTCCCCAAGTTGCGAGACGCGCTGATTGATCGTCCCGAGATCTATCAGAGCCAAAAACGCGCATTCGAGCGGAATTTCGCCAGTTGTTTAAGGCTTCAGTGGCCGGAAGCCAAACCACTCTTGATCATGAACGATGAGGGTGAGATCGGGCTCGACCCTGCCTTTGAGGCATTTGCCGAAAATATTGACCACGGGGTCTTTATTGATGAATGGCACGACGCATATCCAACATTTAGCGAGTTTTGTCAATCGTGTGGGGATTTGAACGGTCTGTTGACAATGAGTCCAAGACTGCTGGCGCAAACACGATCCGTACCCGGCCCTTATTTTGATATGGATAGATGGCAAATCATGCTCTGTTACAAAAACCGTTGATCCGTCAAGCTGGCTCGGCTTCCCCTTCAACTTGGGATTTCTAGTGAGATATTGCGTTTCAGCGTGTCCGGATACGTGATACGGGTTACCCATACATACAAAGTCCATATATATGAGGAAGTGACCTGTGAGTCGTCCCGTTTTCAAGCCCTCCGCAGAGTGAATAGCTACGGTCGCCACATGCGCGATTTCTTCACAAATTTTTATATCTGGAAAGTCCTTCTCAGACGGCGGTGAGGTGAACAGCCAACAGACGGCCAATTCTCTTGATTCTTGCTAATGGTCGCTAGATGGGTGGAAATTATGAGCTGGACCACCGCCGCTTAAATAACAAGCCCCGAGGTGGCACTGAGGTACGAAATGACCTGTGCTTCCCGTAGCGGGGTCCCAGTCCTTCGGCATATATATCTACCCGAAAATGATATGGCAAGATTTAAGAATGAAGTAGAATGGAAATGCCGTGGTGATCTTTCAAGCTATTTGGAGCACGGAGGCTCCATCTAGACTCCTAAAGCGGAGAGTCACGCTGTCAACATGGACAGGAATATTAAAATTGACCTTTTAGGAATCCTTCAATTAGCGCTCATAAATTAGAATGAAGATCCATCCCCAAAGGTCTCCGATTAGGTTCGCCCATGTCCAGGCCCTCAGCAGCGTGAATATTTGCCCCCCGGTGGACAACGGAACATTCCTTCCTTTGGTAATTGACGGTCGAAAGCCTCATTGCAGATAAATGTTATTGCAATATGGCGCCTTCGAAGGAATTCTGGCCGAGAGACCGCGACATATGCTTGCTAGCCTTGGGACAATCATCTGGAAATAGATCCTGTTTATCACCCAAGAGTCCGCTCCATGTTGGTAGCCTACTGTACTTTGTTGTACCTGTAGTGACCCTGACGCTGTGATCGAGGTAATCCTCATGTCCTTCTGGGGGAGATGCTCGGTTTCGCTGGTCCAACCTCTTCCATCGCGAATAGGGGTACTGACATGCCCTGAGTCAAACAGTGTTCCCATGTTTGTCTTTCTGGGCCCGGCGGATTTCCATGGCTTCCGTCGTGTAAAGTAGTCCATAACTATCAGAAGCTACTAAAGCATTGCTGATACTGTGGACGAGAATCTTCATGTTGCAACGATTGATTTGATCCAGTGATTTGATCCAATGATTTGACTTGACATCTGGTCTCAAGATCAAGCACTCTCGAGATGATCTAGCAAGTTCCCGCGCACCCATGAGAGCAATACCCTGAGCTTGTGTACTGGCTCCGAGGACTCCCATTTCTCCTGAACGGCTTTAGAAGGTTTAAAGTGGATGTTTTGTACAGCTCGATAAGCTGCAACGGTGACTGATATGTGCAAACTTGTCAGCTCTGGGGCCATTGGTCTGAAAACGAATGTCTCAAAGAAAGAAGACTTGAGTGTTGGGCAGAGATCTAAGTGAGCACAACTGCTGTCTAGCCAAGCGCAAGCTTCGTGACCATGCTCACCGTATTCCCAGCCGAGTCGTGAGAATAATTAATCTTGCTATCGAAGCTCCAGAACACCCTCCCAATTGATTAGCATACACACTCCGGCGGACCCATCAAATGAACGGCATGATAGCATTCTTTAGTTATGGGACTAATACCAGCTCCTGGGCAATTCTACTCCATGATACAATTGAGCCAGACGAAGGGGTTACAGAATCGTTACACGCGACTCGTAAAAGCCGGCCAGGTCTCCCGTGAAATTCTACAGATATTAATTTACAGTTCCCCTAATACGGTTCAACCAATAATCATAGTGAAATTGTTAACCTCGGATGTCGTGGGGACCATCACATGTCATAGCTACTCAGGGACGTGGTCATCGTGGTAGGAGCAGTACTCGTGGACGTGGGCACGGAGGTAGCAATCTGAATCGATGATTAGATCCTACCAGTGGATAATGACTCCAGTGAGTGTCTCACAAAAGAAGCAAGAAATCTCTAATTCGGAGATTTCTTTGGCTACAAGCATTGCAGAGGAAGATCCTCACTGCCCGTTACGTCAACTAGCTGGTATGCACTGTACTCTTCAAAACTAGACCACTTTGACCGAGGGCAACAGGGCAACTACGTTTACTCGTAGGGGAGCCGAATCCTCCCTTCACCGCCACATGCTGGGAAATGGGCTTCACCGCAACCAGTAAGTTACCATCCGTTGTCATCCATGCCCTAAGTCAGCGCGCTACTTAGCCTCCCCGTAGATGTCTCCGTATTACAAGCCTGGACGACTCGTCCACTGTTGAAAGCTCCACAAAACTCGCGATCGAGACCGCTCGTCACCATTGTGGGGCCCCAGATTTCCTGGAGCTCACACAATCAAGAATTGGAGAGGGGTTTGCAGTGCAGCTTGGCTGGGGTTCAAGGAATTCCGGAGTTCCGCAAGCTTGTAGCTGGCCTCTTGGAGGCAAGGAGAAATTCAGTCTCTCAGCCTTCGAATTCATCCTTGGTCAACAAGCACAATTTTATGAATGGCGGCCCTATGAGAAGAACTACTAATGCTCTTTCCAATCAATGTGTCTGTCAGTTTGATCCGGTCCGGTATTGATTCCGAGCAGCGAACATTGTTGCTAAAAGGATGAAATGACAGCACGCCTAATTGGGGAGAGCGACCCAAGAGCGGTAAGGCTGCGAAATAAAGGGATTATTTCTGGGCAGCGATGGCCGCATATTGCCAAGAGTCACGTGCCAATATCCTTAGTCAGCTTCAACACTGTCGATCACATGATATTGGCCATTAGGTCTCAACTCGCACGGTAGGTAACAGGAGTGCTCACATCTTGTTGATGAGTTAATCGATTTGATAACAACCTATTATCAACGCATGCCATGTCTTATCATAAGGTCGACACCAAATAGTACTGCCAGGACGCAAGGGTATCACGATGCCTTGGTAGGTTGGATGAAACTGACCGTCACTCAAAGATTAGATAGAGATGGGAAATAACCAAATTTTCGACCTGGAGGACATTGTCTCTTAGCTACGCACTGCCACGGGAGCATAGATAGGGAGCAGAGTTCCGTTTCATGTGATTCTATTCTAAGCTCCGTTGCTTGTCACGATATAGAACATACTTTACTAGGAGCTGCGTGTTGCGTTAACAAGGTGTACCAGTGTTCCTTCCGTGAGTCCACCTACCTTAGGAAAACAGTCTTGACTTGGGTGTAAGCAAGGATACTATCGAAGCCACCCTCGCTCCCGTAGCCTGATTGCTTGACCCCGCCAAAAGGAGTTTGGGCGCTCACCATCATCATTGAATTAATACAGACGGTGCCGGACTCTATAGCACTCACCATCCTCTCTGCCCTGTCGACTTGCTTGGTGAAGACCCCGGCCATCAAACCAAACTCGGTATCGTTGGCCAGAGCAATGACCTCCTCCTCGGTCGAGAAGCGCTTCACCACCGAGACTGGTCCAAATATCTCTTCTTTGTAGACCTTTGCGTTCGGAGTAGGATCTGCGAAGACGGTCGGATGGATGAAGTAGCCCTGTTGATATCCGAAATTCCATGGTCAGCAGATGTAACATGCGGCGACTAGCCTGTGTAACCGGCACTCGACTGACCTTGTCCCCCATTCGGTCGCCCCCAAGGACCAGCTTCGCTTCGCCTTTCCCGCTTTCGATGTATGCCTGGACACGCTCGAATTGTAGCTTGTCGGCCACGGGGCCATAAGTCGTGGATGGATCGCTGGG